GGACACGGACCATATGTGAGTTTGAGTTTGTTTGATGAGTTGTTATTTACCTTGCCACGAGGGTTTTCTCCGGGTCCACCGGTTATCCTCCCTCAGCAAAAATCAACTCAACATGTGAGAAGTGTTGTGTGCTAAAATACTTCATGTAGAGGTAGTGGAGGGTGAGTTATGAGGGCCACAAGTTAATCAGTTCTTCACTGTCTCGTGTAACCCTCTTAAAGTTAAAGTTCTCTGTTTAAGAGAACTCAACTTACAGTTCCGGAGTACCTGATTAACACGCTACAATTAAATAGCTCTAGGCATTCGAGATCAAAAAGATACTCAAATCTAAATTTTGTAACTCCTAGGTACGATAAAAAAATTGAGGGAGGGAAAACCTTTGTAGTTAGTGCCATAGACGTATGAAACAAATTATATATTTCGTTAATGAAACAACCAACACTTAACTCTTTAAAAAACAGTCTTTTAAAAATTATTTTTGAAATACAAAAGCATTTGTWCCATTGTTGCTAAAAAAAGTAATACCAAAATTTCAAGTGAAGARCWAAGAATGGTTCAAGAGGGTTAACATACGTTGAATTGTCAAATATAGAGTTTGGGAATTACAAAAAGAGGGCAACCGGCTGCATCTTGAAATACTSTTATTTCACTTGCTCGGCTTTCGAATCATGTCATACATACAGTGTACGTTATATTGTCATAAACTGCAAGACATAGGAACTATATATCATGCAAATCTAGCGTGATTGYCGGTGGCTTTTATCTTGAAGATTTTGAAATGGAAATGGACAAGACTTTAGAAGGTGGTGAGTTCGACGAAATAACAGATCTCATTACACCCTATAACCTGATGAAGTGCAAAACAAACAGTTTAGAAAAGTCCCTGGAGGTATGTAGAAAACGGTACCAACAATATCCTAGATGTGAATGGTGTATTGGACTTATATTTATGCTGGTGTCTTGACTGAATGGCCCACTTTTGCATGATAATGCAATTGTACTTGTTATGAGCCATGCCGAGACTAGCGTTTTACGTAAATTCACTCATGCGGGCTTGCATACCGAGTCGAATAGAGAGTCTACTTGATGCTCTCAGAATGTTCTTTAAAGAACATCAATACAACACGTAAAATCCTGTTCGTATTTAGACATATTTAAGAGTCATCGTTTTCAAAGTATGCGCTCTCAGACGAATATCATATCAGTTTGTGAAATGGAAACTACTTTCCCTTTCCAGGCGACATGAAGGGATCATTCCATTCCGAATTACATATAGAAATCATGAAAATGATCAGAGGGGGTAGGACAGGGAAATCATTTATATTTTACTATTTTATCTGGTATCTAATCAATTTTTCAAAGGGGCATGTATTGTTTTAGGTTAGTCATAAACTCAAGTCTTTAGCCGATAGGGGTGGACCTGACTCTGATGACTTTGAWARTCTGGCAAACACAGTCGAAGATTTTGCAATTGAGCTTCTTGAGCCTTTGAAACGCGATGACATGAGGAGAGCTATATTTGAAGGAGATAGCTTTGACCGAATTGCTGAAAAAATCGTTGTCTTTCGTCAGAAAAAGGTTTGAACTGATTCTTCATTCAGCATTTCATTTGATGATAAATGATTTCACATGCATGACTGGTGAGCTATTCGAATTGTTTCAGGTAGTGTTCCATATTAGGAAATGTCACATAGATACATAACTGATGAAAATCTGTTGAGGGTGTCAGGTGTACCAATAGACACACCTTGGTAGTTATTGATCCTCTATAGTCGGGAATGTATAATAATTTTATTTTTTGTGTAATATTTTWAATTTTAGTTCGTGTCTCATCCCGTTGTATACAATCTTCTGATGAGACGATGGGCAGGAATGTTTTATCATCTGAGATACAGCTCTTTGACATCTTTGAACTGGTTCAAATGGTTTTTATTAAACCTTTGGACCGTCTTTGACCTTTTTCTCTTTCCGTTGGCGTTTGCGATTCTGTATGTTATTCATCGGATCAAAAGAATTATKAAACACCGGCAAGGTAGGTGTATTTTAAGCACTCGAAATAAGCAACTTTCATCATTATTTCTTTTTCTTTCGTATTATTAGATCACGGCGTTGTACTGATRCTTAATTCTACTTGGAATAAAGAATACCTTCAGAAAATGAGGAATTTGAGCAGCAACATACTTGGCGAATGTGATCAAAATCGCATCATCATCGCTTCTATCTTGCGTTACAAAGATGGCATTATAACTAATACCTTTATGACCAAAGACAAGGCCAGGTCTGCATTAAAGAAAGAAACAAGCAAAATAGCAACGGATAACAATACATTGCATTCATGCTTGGAGAATGGAAAAAAGATGCTTAAAAACTTCAAAGCGCGAAATTCAAATAAGGTACTTCAAATTTGCTAGAGTACAATCRCTAAAACTGTGCAACATAAATACCACTAAATTAGGCTAAATTAGGCTAATTCTATTGTTTTCTATTGTTTAATTAACACTATTTTGTAGTAAATAGTGGAAAGTGTTGCACACATTTAATGTTTGTACTCTACAACTATATAATAAAAGTATATTTGCATGGTTTTATTAATGAGATTCAAAGTGGAGACGTTGGAGAACACAACTAATGGTGCTCATCATCTATTCGGTTGATGCCAATTCCGGTAGTGSCTCCTGTAGGCAGTAGACATGCCCTTTTCCAAATGGATCCAAATCCAGTAAAACGGAAGCTTGAATCTAATTCTTTATTGACGCTTGTTATTWTTGATGGGAAGGGACCTGGTTTCCTTTGGAAGCTTTACTATATCTTGGGGGATTATAAATCATACTGTCGAAGTTGCARMWTTTAGTTGGTAAAATTCCATTTTCGCTGTTATTGTAGCTTAAATCAGCAGGAATAAACTGCATCTCAGGGGATATGTGATCGTCTTATTTACTTTCCAGTATGTAACATGATTTTATAGTAAATTAGTTGCCTTTTAGAAAAGTGTACCAGCAAGAATAAATGACTTGTTATCATACACAAATACATTGATGGTAGATTCACTGGAAAAAATCGCGCACTGTAAAGGTTTAATTTCAATTTTCAAATTGAAGAATTTGATGCCTGAGATTTTACGGACTTGATCAACGTTGCAGCTTTTCTAAGAAAGCACTATTCACTCTTCTGGAAGGTGATTTCATGCAACAGAATAGTTTTGTAGSCTTAATGTCGGATTTAATAATTGACTTTGATAAGGGGAATGTTTTAGTTGTTGAGTTTCAAGCCCGTCACTTGGTTTATCAAGAAAGTTGTCGACGGTAATCAGATCGTTTTTCTTCAGGTTGCAAGTTGATATTACAATTGTTGTAGAAAGCTGTGATAACACTGTATATCGCAAGCTGGCGACTTGTTGCAGTCTTTGAGTTCCAAGCCGTTTGCTTGGTTTCAACACGCTTTTGATGATAAGATCTTTTTTTTCACAAATTCGACTTTATAACTCCAAGCTTTCATTTAAATTCTAATTTCTGTCCAAGATGAGAAGTAACTAAGTTACTATTCTCCTTGAAGGAAAGTCAGCAGCTCGCATACCTTTCCTTTTAATCATACTGGTAATCTGTAGGAATCTGCTAGTCTTTAGTTCCACATGTACTCAGTCACTTCCTTGTGGTCTTTGAGCTTGTCCTCAAAACATGGTCGCGCCCAATAACGCGGA